TGTTTCATACAGTGTCGTCAATTGAAAGACGACATCAAAAACTGGAAACATGAGTTGGTGTCAACTTTCGTCACATTAAATTTCCTTAAGAGTGGCAATGAAAACTTAATTAAGCATGAGAGGGAGGGCATTTCCCCTCGAATTAGAGCGCCGGTCTGGGGAAGCAACCTCCACTTTCTTTTTGACGACCTCCGTGGACGAGTGTTTTGTACGCCGGGTTTCATGGTGTCGCCGACTCGAGAGTCCCGGATTCAAATCCCGGTGGAGGCGGCTGTTTGTTTGATGAATACGAGCTTACTTCAGTCATGATTGTTTAATATGTATTTCTATAGAAATATACTTATATATGTACAGTATATGTATTCTATTCGTTACCCTAGTCTATAACACAAGCTTTATAGTGCTTACTTTGGTGCTAGGCTAAGTGGTGCGAGTGTTGGAAATATTTATTATTATTATTAACTAGCGGCCCGCCCTCGCTTCGCTTCGGTGTAGAGCTGAAGTGTAGACTACAGTTTTTGTTTGTTCTCAGGCTTGTATTATACACAATGACATTCATCTATGATTCTTCTTATACCTGCATGCAGTCTCAGCCCGATCGGTTAAAAATTGACAAAGTTTCATACAAACTTTCATTCCCCATTTTATCCCCTTGGCGGTAGAATTGATCAAAATACTACTAAATAGAGCATGCGCTCCTTCTTGCTAGCGAGCCCGCGGGGTGCTGAGTGTGGGAAGCGGGGCGAGATTTTCTCCTGATGATGACATTATTAGAGACGAAGATGTAGGGGCCAAATTGGAATTTCTTGGACTGATGATAACATTTTAGAGTCGGGGTAAAATCTGTTTTCCTAATAGGTTACAGGGGTAGCCGTATTGGAAAGGTAAGGAAACACTGGTCTTTAGACTATGGTGGCCGGTTACCATCGGCCGGGACATACGCTTGTTTGCCCATTTAACATGAACAAAAACTCCTTTTGACCGTCCGTCTGTCAATGGTTAAATAGAAAAAAAACCACGCGGACCAGGCAGCGGACGGGACTCGAACCCGCACCCTTCGCAATCCGGGCGAATGCATTGACCAATTATGCTAATTATGCCCTAATGGCCGCGTCGAAATTTTCCTAGCCTTAAGCTGCAAGGCAGCGCCATCTAGCAAGTAAATGCTTAAATAAATAAAAACATAGTTAAAATAGTTCGTCGTTAAATTATTTCTTTTTCATTGTTAAAAATTGACCACTAAGTTTTTTATGTGGAGATCCTCCGTGTTTCGTAAAGCACGTCAAGCTGTTGGTCCCGGCTGCATCTGCAGTCGTTAGCACCCACTAATCTGCACTGGGCCCGCGTGGTTGGTCCTTGCCAGTTTGACCTTATTACATTTTTAAGAATAATCGTTTTTTATTGCCTATTTTTTTTGAAAGACGAAATCCATAACGTCATCGTCACCCGAGTTCTAGCGTGACCAAGGAAAATAAGTATCATTTTTAACCGACTACAAAGAAGCAGGAGGTTATGTTTTCGACTTTATATATATATTTTTGAAGTGAAACTTCTTTATCAGCGTTGGAAAAAAATTTACCGTCACATTTTTCGGTTACGCGTCACATTTTTCCGTTACGCGCCATCTTTTTTTATATTAATAGTTGATAGCTGAATGATCACACTGTCGCCGGCGAGAACTCTCTCTACTCGTTTGTAGCTGAGTGACAATAGTTATTAAAGATAAGACTCGCTCAGCCAAACTCGCATAGCGATACTCGCTCAGCGATACTCGCTCAGCGATACTCGCTCAGCGATACTCGCTCAGCGATACTCGCTCAGCGATACTCGCTCAGCTATACTCGCTCGGTTAAGCTGGCTTGGCTGTCAAAAGCCGTGCGCGTGCATTTTAACTCAGGACTGCCAATTCGTTTCTAGTTTGTACTCGCTTATCGTTCATCGTCGGAGGTGGAACATGTGCCTTAGATTACTGAGCCGTGTAATCATAACAGTTTCATAGGCAGTAATTTGTATTCATGTCTATGATAATAAAATCCTTTTGTTTAAACTTTATCTAATTTAACTTTATTTAACCAATTTCTGGAAAGTTGCATGTAGATCATTTTTCGAAAAATAAGGCCATAAAAAAGTTTCATTTCTTACGTGTGTACACTGATACACGCACACATTTTTTTTTTATGTATGTTCACCGATTTCTGCGTCAATTGTGGATCGATTTCCATAATGCTTTTTTTATTCGAAAGAGTGCACTTCCGAGGAGGTCCCATTGGAACCAAGTCAGGATCTGATGGTGGAATCCGGGGAAATCGAGGGAAACCTTAAAATTTAGCGTGACCAAGGAAAATAAGTATCATTTTTAACCGACTACAAAGAAGTTCTGTGTTCGATTGTATATATATTTTTTTTTGCGTATTCACTGATTTCTCCGTCAATTGTGTACCGATTTCCAAAATTCTTTTTTTATTCGAAAGAGTGCTCTTCCGAGATAGTCTCATGTAATTTTCACTAAAATAAATGAAATAAAAAAATTTAAACACAAAATAAAACCGACTTAAATGTCGAAAATGGAACTAAAAAGTAAAAAATAATATCTGGTTCATGATTTGGAAGTCGGGCGGGTCAAGATTGACTAAAAATTTTCAAACAATAAATATCTGGTTTTATTTTTTGTTTGAAAATTTTTAGTTCCATTTTCGATTTTAAAGTCGGATTATTTTTTGTTTAATTATATACCTGAAGATTAGTTAAAGTCAAAAAATAATACAAGATATATTTTTAACATCTTTATTTAGTATTTTTTTAAATATAAATCGCTACTTTTTTACTCCGGTACTTATTGGCTACAACCTGAAGAAAAAACTATTTTAACACAAAATAAGACATATCATTTTGAAAAGATGCAAAATTTGTTTTTTTTTTCTTTAAAATCATAAATAAGGTAGAAGTTACAAGTTTTTTTGTAAATCTAAAATAACTAAAAATTATATAAGCTAGAAAAACTACTTATTAATGTAATTTAACAAAAATATATATTACTAGCTGACCCAGCGAACTTCGTACCGCGATAAAAAAATAGGGGTTGGTGGTAGAAAGTTAAAACTTTAGGGATGTATGTATTTTTGTATGATGTATCATAAAAAAATAAAAAAAAATGTTTTTATCTAAAATTGAAAAAAAAAATTTAGGGGTGGATTACCCTTAACATTTAGAGGGATGAAAAATAGATTACATCCGATTCTCAGACCTACAGAATATGCATATAACATTTTACGAAAATCGGTCGAGCCGTTTCGGAGGAGTTTAACCACAAACACCGTGACACGAGAATTTTATATATAAGATATTCTTCAAATTGTAACCAATAACACTTTCCGCTAATACTGCTACATTGCACAATAAATAACTTAATAATTAAATTTTATTTCTAAATTTTATCTAGGCTAGGTTTTATTTACATCATCATTAATATTATTTCGACTTAAAATTGTTTATACATTCGTGTGGGACATAATTCGACTAAGGATTCTTAAATTCAATAGAAAATATTTATATATTACAGATTTATATTTTAATTTAGTTTTTCATTATTAGCATATATAATATTGTACAAAAAGATTAGCTCATGCAACTTGACAAAATTACTTTTTACATTTTAAACATTGAAAAATTCAATAATTCTGACGATATTTTTACAATGAAATAATAACAACATTAGTAAAACAAAATTATTCATTTTTAATTTATGTTTTTCGTAATTCGCAATTAATCACCCTTATAACTTCGTTCTAATTACAAAATTATACAAGTCGTTTTTTATGCCATATCCAGTCAGACGTAATTTACATAATTAAGGGTGTGGCCCAACACTGCGTTGTGACGTCGCGTCGCAAGACGCATCGCAAAAAAAAGATTAAAAGGCTAAAAGTCTTCGTTGTCCGTCTTTTGAATACCATCTCCTTTTTGTCACCAATATTTACATTTCGTTTTTAATCTATTTGCTGGTGTGTTCAACTTTCCTTCTGTTATATTTTTTTATTTTTAAGCATGTAACTGCTTGATGTTTAAATGTAAAGAAAATATAACTAGAAAAAATTCCACGCGGACCAGGCAGCAGACGGGACTCGAACGCAAACCGCAGCGCTGCCTTGCAGATTAAGAATGGCTAGAAGAATTTCGACGCAGCCATCAGAGCCGCGGTAGCATAATTGGTCAGTGCATTCGCCCGGATTGCGAAGGGTGCGGGTTCGAGTCCCGTCTGCTGCCTTGTCCGCGTGGAATTTTTTCTAGTTATATTTTCTTTCGTTCTGTTCTCGCGATTTCATTTTAAGTTCCTTCCCTTCCTTAGTTAATGGGACAATACTATGGTAGTCTTCATTGTCTCTGTTTTTGCTTACTTCTATATATGTACATATTTCTTTTACTCTACCTCATCTGCTTGCGTTCAACGTCTATCCTGCCATTCTCTTTTTCCCGCGCTTTCATTAACTCCTTATCTTTTGGAGTGAGTAAGACAGAGCTATGGTTGTACCGTCCTTGCACAAGCATCCAGTATTTTACCAACCTCTTCATATGTACATCTTTTGATTCTTTCTTATTTGCAGAACTATTCAACGTCGGCTGTGCTGTTCGCTTTTTCCCTAGCTTCCATTTCAATCTCCTCTCCTTTTTTAGTTAACGGGACAGTGCTATGGTTTCTCCTGTATTTTTACCAACTTCTTTTTATGTACACCAATCTTTTGATTCTCTCTTATTTGCAGGACTATTAAAAATCTATTCTGCTGATCTATTTTCCTAGCTTTTATTTCAAGCTTCTCTTCTTCTTTAGTTAAAGTGACAGTGCTATGGTTTCTCCTGTATTTTACCAACTTCTTCTTATGTACACCAATCTTTTGATTCTCTCTTATTTGCAGGACTATTCAACGCCTATTCTGCTGATCTATTTTCCTAGCTTTTATTTCAAACTTCTCTTCTTCTTTAGTTACTATGACAGTGCTACGGTTTCTCCTGTATTTTACCAACTTCTTTATATATACACCTTCTTTTGATTGTACGTTATTTGTAGGAGTTCAGCGTCTATTCTGCTGCTCTCTTTCCCGCGCTTTCATTTCGAGTTCCTCTTCTTCTTTCGTCAATGGGACAGTGCTATGGTTGTAAAGTCCTTGCGCCATCAGCTGTAGGGCCAGCGGGTTCCTTTGGCCAGACGCCTTCTTGATCTTGGCGCGCTTGTTCTGGAACCAGATCTTGATCTGCGCCTCCGCCAGTCCCAGCTCCGCGGCGAGCGCCTGCCGCCGCCGCTCCGTTAGGTAGCGGTTCTCAGCGAACTCGTGCTGCAGAAGAAATTAGGGTTTCAATCTATTGCTAAAGATTAGGTAATCTTATTATTACGACTTCGAATCTATCAGGAGATAAACAAGCTTTAGGTTGTATCTTTATGAAAAAAAGTCAATTTTGAATGTATAAGAACGAATTAGGCAAGCTTAAGAAAAGATTTCAGGAAGAAAAAGATTTTGCTGGCCTTTTAAAATGGGTGGTTTTATTAATTAGTAGTAGCGGTTCTCAGCAAAGTCATGCTGCATAAGAAATAAGACTTTAAAGCTTTGGATAAAGAGTAGATAGTGTTATTAAAACTTCGAATCTGTTCTGTATTAGGACAAAATAGTCATGATATTTTGACGGGAGATATAAAAAGATACTGCTGCCTCTTCAAAATGGCGCGAGCGGTAGATGATACATTATGTTATTGCTGGTGAACGACTTTAATCAAAGTAATGCTGAATGAAGCTTCGTCTTAGCGAACTTGTGCTGCACAGGAAATCGCACTTTAAATCTATGGATGAAAGGCAGTTAATGTTATTATGACTTCGAGTTAGGACAAAATAGTAACGATGGTTTGAAGAGAGAAATAAAAAGATGCTGATGGCGGTAGAATCTGTTATTACTTGTGGAGCTATTATCAAGACCTTCTATAAACACTTTAATTGTGAATTTTATGTGTTATACCTTTAATCTTGCAAGCTGCGGTCCAGAGAAGGCGGTTCTTGGTCTTTTCTCGTCATTTGGGTTGCCATCCCCGGGTGGTTTCTTTGGTCTTCTAGTCCTTGGACCTGCGTAAAAACAACACTTTTATAATTTATACCAATGTATATCTAATATAACGAAGTTTGTTATCTGGAGCTGTGTGCAGAAGGCACGTTAAGCCGTTGGTCCCGGCTGCTTCTGCAGTCGTGTCAGCATTTTATCAATGGGCCCGCTTGGGGTGAGTCGTGGCCTGTGTCCTAGCAATGGATGGCATAAGGTAGGATATTGCAGATTTGCTAGTTTGTTTTCTGTAGCTTTGTGCTTCAGAAGGCACGTTAAGCCGTTGGTCCCGGCTGCATCTGCAGTCGTCAGCATTTCATCAATGAGTCCGGGTGAGTCGTGGCCTATGTCCTAGCAATGGATGGCATGAGGTAGGGTATTGCAGATTTGCTGGTGATTTAATTTGCCTGTTTGAGGAAGCAACCTCCTTCTTAGAGAAGATCACAGTAAAATAACTCTACATTTTGGTGGTATTGTGTTTCTTTCGGTGAGTAAGGTTAGTTGTTCCTACTACATCTATACTAATATTATAAAGCTGCAGAGTTTGTTTGTTTGTTTGAATGCGCTCATCTCTGGAACTACTGGTCCGATATGAATGATTCTTTCAGTGTTGGGTAGTCCATTTATCGAGGAAGGCTATAGGCTATATTTTTTTTTTTTCAAAATTAGGGATCCGTAATAAAATTGCTATTTTGTAACACAAGGTGTGTAGCAATTAAATTTAATAACGTTAAAAACTTAGCAATATAATTCTTAAATATTAAGTCGTAGAAATATTATTATTTATTCAGCGCCATCTATCATCATGCATATAAATTATTCAATATCGAAATCCACTTTGAAAAGCAATGGACAAGTACAATATATGTGTGAACCTAGTAGTTGCATTTGGAATGTAAGTTAGAGGGAGCTAGTGTGCAATTTCTTTTGAATGAGATGCGGAAATGGATGTGACGTCACATTAATGTTCTGGAAACATTGAAAGGCGGAGTCAGCAAAACCGGTCCGTGTGCTTCCTCATACCAAATATGGTGATATGAGAGAAATTTGCAATGACGCTGTCACGTGTTGTAGTAGCCTATAAATAGCAGTGCACAAACAGATTCGCTCTCTTTTGGCTGATAGAACCTTGAAGACCATACTTAGAAAATAGCATTAAGACTAGCAGTGGTAGTCAGTGCATTATATATTTGATATTTCTCCCCGGATTAACGGGTAAGTTCAATACATTTGATTCGTTAGGCTGTAGGTCCAGTTAGTTTTTTATTGAATTATAGAAAAATATGTAATTGGTTCTAGGTCCATTAATTTAGCTAATTAATAACAGTAATAATCACAATTACTTGATCCTGATTGGAATCTCCTTGGAAATATATATATATATGAGCCTGTGAAGCTTCCTTGAGCAAAAAAGTGACGGGTTCACGTGATGACAGCAAGTCCTGCTTCATCCCTGAGGACATTTGAGTGATCCTGATGCTCCCATGATCTTGCCAAGCTAAGTAAAACTTATAACTTCTTGATATTTAACCAGTGCATACTCCGGATAACAATTTCTGTTTAACGTGATAAAGGATTTCTATTAGTAAACTATAAAGCCATTATAAGTACATAACAAATTTTTATTGTTAGATTTACAAAATTTAATATTTTATAACTTGTTTAATAATTTGTTTATATAAGAAACTTAAATTGAGTATTACTGTATTAGCACATGATCTTGAATGTTTGAATAGCTTTAAATCAAAAGAAAAATCTTTGAAGAAATATAACTATGTATTTTTAACTTGAATGTGACTAGTATTAAGTTTTAACCATGATGAAATAAGATCTGAATCTTTTTAACAATATAATATCTTGTTCACTGCTGTTTTAGACATTTTCATTTATCTCCCTCAAATCACAGTATCACGGCGCCCTGATTTTAAATTAAATAAGTTTCGAGTCTCATGTACGCCCTGAAATAGTCGGTGGTAACTAAAATTGTTACAAAATGGCGACCAACTTTAGGGCCGAGCAATAAAATACTGTATTTGAGGGAAATACTGGTGTGCTGATATGATGATAAAAAGGTTGGCGGAAAAATAAATGCTTAAATCCCCAATCAGTCTGAACGGCACACTAGAATTTAACATCTAATCAAAAAAAAAATTAACTTAAAAATCTTTAATATTCAGAATTTGTACTAATGTGTTAATATGATAATAAAGATTGGTGGAAAAATTTAATGCTTAAAATCCCCAATCAGTCTGAATAGCACATTAGAAGTAAATTACTTAATAACTTAGAAAACTTTAATAAACACACTAGCATTAATTAACTTAGCACATTAGAATTAATCAACTTATACTACAATAACACTTTCGTATTGATTGGATGCGTAAAAAATTGACCTTGAACAGTGAACAAGATAGTCTTTAAGAATTGAAACTTGTAATAATAAAAGTACCCTCCTTCAAAAAAAAAAATTTTATAAATTCCTTTGTATTTAACTTTCTTAGATTAAATAACTTGAATAAGTAGCTTGATTTAAAAACTTGATTAAACGTAATTTAATAATTAACTTAATAATTAACTTAGTAACAGAAATAACTGACTTTAACTTGAAAAAATCTGAGAAAATGCTCTCTATACAAAAATATGTAAACTACTTAAGAAAGGATGAAATCATATATGAATTGGATATTCTTGGCATTTCCACAGCTCCTGACACATCGGTGGATGCACTGAGAAAGCAGCTTCGCCAAATTTTTAAGCTGAAGAGACGTGGCAGCATCAAGTGTGCTCCAGTGATCACACCACTCCTGGCAAGCGAGCTCAAGGCATGTACGCCGAAAATTGCTGAGCTCGAGGATCTGCTGTCATCAGGTGACCTCGGAAAGGACAGTAATCTTCACTTACGTGTGTCAGTTAGGGCTAATTATCTAATCGATAGACTTGCTCGATTGGAGGTTGACAATGCTTCTCTTGTGGATTTGCGCCACAGGCTCATACGTATCTTAGCTCAAGTAGAACAGGAAGATGAAAGTAGTTCAGACGAATTAAGTAGTAAAGAGGCAACTCCCGAGTGTGAGATAACGAGCGAGATGAACGAAAGGAGGAAGGTGTACTTAATTAAAGATAGACGCATTAATTTAAACTCATTTAACTTAAAATATGATGGTTCTACTTGCGTTAAAAATTTTATAGAAAGATTGGAAGAAATTAGACACGCCCGCGAGATTCCGAAATCTCGTATGCTAACGGCATTTTCCGATCTGTTAGAGGACTCTGCTTTAATTTGGTACAGAAGTAATAAAGATAATTTTAACTCATATTCTGACCTATTAATTAACTTGAGAGAAGACTTTGATATACCTGATTTTGAAATAGATTTAAAAAACAAATTATGACGATTAGTTCTCTATTAAAGTAAAATTTTTTAATAAATCTTAAATATTTAATATATATGCAATTCATAAATTAATTACGATTGATTATTTAATTATCTCTGTTTAGTTTAGTGTTCACCAAGTACCTTGACTTTTATTTAAAAATATATATATTAAGACACTATTAAGAATGTCGTTAGTTAATAATTATTTTGATAAATACTTAAAAATAATCTTAATTCATAACTTTAATTTCCAATGGAACTTTTTAATATTGAACCTAACCTTAACATTTTTGATACCTCCAATTACTTTCCCTAATTACGATATATTTATCTACCTGCATTCTGGATATTGGTAAGGTACTTGTAACTTTTTTTACTTGCAAAAAGTTACAGGAGCTTATTAGTATTTTCCACCAGGTGAGGAAATATTTAATTGTTTCTCACCAAAGGAATGAAGGATGGTTGGTATATAAATATGTGTAATTTCTAAGAAAAGAAATAATATTAACATGTCAATACGGCAAGCCCATATCTAAAACTTTTTTTTACTAGTAGTTGAGATTTATTTGAACCTTTTCCACACACTTGAAATTAGAAGACGTATTTAATTGTAATAACATATAAGTTCAGAAATATGTTATGTTGCACCCTATACGGTCAGCAACAGGCATAGCTGTAGTTAGTAAAAACTTAATAATAATTTTTTTCACAAGGTAAGCAGACACTTAATTGCTGCCCACCCAAGGAATAAAAATAAATTTAAACTTGATAGCATTTTCCAAAAGGGGAGTGGACTCTTAATTGCTACTCACCCAGGGAATGCTAAATAATTTAAACTTGACAATTTTTCCAAAAGGTGTGGAAATATTTAATCGTTTCACACCCAAGGAACAAAAGTTTACACTTAATAATACTTTCTTCCAAAAGGTAAGCGGATACTTGATTGCTGCTCACCAGAGGAATGAAAATTATTTAACTTAATAATATTTAGTTCCTAAAGATGAGAAAATATTTAATTGTTTCCCACTAAAGGAATAAATATTTATTAAATGTGTGGTAACCACTTAATTATCACCACCAGTTGATACTTTGTCCAATCTTGATCGTAGATGTTTTTGCTTTAATGTAATGTTAACTTAGTAAAGATAGCTTAAATTTTTTTTAACAAACTTAAAAATTAATAAACCTTTGAATCCCTTTAGATGCTTATTTTGGTCACTTTCAGTATTAATCGGTTGGCTAAGAAGAGTTGAAGTATAGGAAAAGTGTATATGGAAATCTGTGGGCTACGGTTCGAAACCTGCCTGAAAATTAAATTGTTTTTCTCTTTTAACTAAATAAATATTTATTTACAACTTTTTTTAACCTATATGATCACTTTTAAAAAAAAAATATGCTTAAATGAAATTTCGAGGAATTTTAATATTTTAACACAAAAAGAAAATTTTTTTGATAAAATTATTTTCGTCAAGTTGTGTTTACTGATATGCATATGAGTATGAGAGTAGTATGAAATGCGTGATGTATGAAAAGTTTTTTTTTTCCAAAATAAGCACGTGCAATTTATTTTAATACTTAATAGAAAAATAGATCTTGATGTAAGAAAGGCATAAGCATAAGGAAGTAGACATATACTTTAGACTTGATAAT